TAAATAACTTTTAAAATCATAGGCCTGTAATTTAAAAAAGAAACTCCTGTGGAGACATGGACAATGATAGAACTTCATTGGTGCAGTGTCACTAACAGAACAATTCTGTTGGAGGACAGTTGGTGAGATGGCTGTAGAAAATGGAATTGCTGAGATCAGTTGAGGACAAAGAACTACAACTCTTAGGAATGGGTGTCTTGTTGATACTAACTGGAGGCACTTTCCTGGGCCATTCTAGATACAAAAATGCTATTTAAACACACTGTATGTGTGTGTATTCATTAATAAAATTTTGGCTGGGCTTACCAGAAAAATGTTCAGTTTGTAGGACTAGGGCTCTCCCACTCACCAGCTGTGAGTTGCAACTGGCAGACAAGGCTACTTGAATGCTACCATGTCCCACTGGTACCATTGTATTTCATTTGTTTGTAGGAGAAAAAAGAAGCAAAATGTAATTTTGAGAGAGGCTCTTTTTTGTTTTGGTTTGGGTTTTTTTGTTTGTTTCATTTGACTTGTTTATTGGCAGACGCAGGAGTAGAAGCAGAAAAGAACTGATTGTGAATTCTCCAGTGAGACAGTCTCTCAAGAAAGAACAGCACATTTTCTTGCTGGGAAAGATTTGCTTTTAACTAACAAAATTAGCATTAAAAGATGTTGTTTGGTCTCAGGCTGACAGAATGGATGTTGCAGTGAAGACCCTTGGCCTTAGCTCAGCCCTTGGGGAGGGAAGGAATGCTAATTCTAGCTTGGAGACACAAGCATCAACCCTTGCCTGTGATTCTCATGTTTTTGCAAAGCTGAAATTTTGTTTTCACATATTCAGTTCTGTTTCCTCTTTTTTCCTGTTTATAAATAAAACTTGGAGCAATTTGCTATGATTTCAATGTCCAAAATGATGTGCTTTTCATTTGGTAAATAATTGCTGTAACAGAGAGCTCAAAGAAGTACAATGATTAATTCCATTAAAGCACAGTTATGGTGACTGAGGTATTGAAGATTAATCAACTTAACAGGTTGGGCTCTCTGCACAGGCAGCTTTTTGTATGTCCTGAAATCAAACGGGGAAATTTTGGTTGTGAAGACACTGCTTTAAATGTCAGCAGAGGTGATGTGTATATCTGGCATTTGAATCACAAGCACCATTTCACTAGCCCGGGAGGTTGTTTCGATGAACGTTTGTCGTCTCCTCCTGGCTGTGTCTGGCGCGTGTGAGCAGCACGCGCGGTTGATGTGATGGCGCTTGTTCACGGGTGTAACTGTGTTGCTGCTGCAGGAAGCAGTGCAGGTGTTGATTAAGCACTCTGCTGATGTCAACGCTCGGGACAAGAACTGGCAGACTCCGTTGCACGTGGCGGCCGCCAACAAGGCAGTGAAGTGCGCTGAGGTCATCATCCCCATGCTGAGCAGCGTCAACGTGTCGGACCGGGGCGGGCGCACGGCGCTGCACCACGCCGCGCTCAACGGCCACATCGAGGTGAGCGGCCAGAGCATCACTGGTGCCTGGCTTAGTTATGCCCTGGTTCCAACAGTTGACCTGCTGTGGCTGGATCTAGGCTGAGCCCCCACAGCCCCGACCCCTCACGATTCCCATCAGTCAGCTGCTTTCCAAACCGTGTGCCAGATTTTCTAGCTGCAGAAATGAGAGTGGCTGGAAAGTACAAAGCACAGAGCTGGCATGCAAGTGAGGTGTGCATCCAGGTTTGGAGAGATGGCTGTGCCACCCACTCTGACAACTCAAGTGTATCCTTGGCTATTTTGTCCCTGACTGCCTATGAAAATGAGAGTAGCAGAGTGGAAAGAAGGAAAAACTGGTGGATTCACTTCATACAGAAGAAACATTCAGCTGCTTGAGATCCAGTTGGTCTGTTTTTCTAATCAGTTGTATAGAAAATGTGCTTCTGTTTTTTCTGCTTATCTTACACATGCAAACCCTTCTAGTCTAATTACCGTTTCTATATGAAAAAAACCCAAACCCCTACTTTTGTAAATAGAGCCCCTATGTAAAGGGTTGTGCTAGCAACTTCAGATTCATGTGCAGGGTTCCTCATTTGCCCATTACACAGCTGAAGATCTGGATATGGAACAAAGTGTTCCTAGACTGGAACTGTGTGCTTCTGTCAATAAAAGTTGATCAGTTGTACTGTAATTGAAAGAAGGAAGAGGAATGGTAGTTCCTGTAAAATTCTGATGGTGTTTGGCCTTTAAAATACTGGACTATAGGGAAAAGATAGTAATGCTTGAGACTAACCATAATAATCTAAAAGTCCTGAGCTTTAGGATAAGGTGTATCAGAAATGTTAGCTGAATATATGGTGTTATTAGCTGATCTCTTTACTGGTAAAGCAGTGTATGAGAGGAAAACAATCATCCAGCTCTGTAATTTATTATTTTAGAATGTTTTGCTGGAAAAGTTTTTGAATGTGTTTTCCATTCAGTTTCCTTTCTTTTTTTCCCTGATTTTTCTTACGTTTGATGTCAGATGATTTGCAATAGGAGAAGCAGCTTTTCACCTCCTGGCAGTGTCACAGCTGAAGCAGCCTGGTGCCTCTCCACACTGTTCTGGGCACATGGGAACTTAACAAAGATCACCATGGCCTGGCAAGAAATAGACACTCCCTGTTGAAAGATCACACAGATTTTAGGATTTTTACCTTATGAGCTGGAGGAATCTTGTCCCAGTCCACAAGAAAAAACCTTATTATGGTCTTAACAGTAAAAACAAAGGGTGGTGTTTCTCTTCCAGGCCTGTTTCTCTTCCAGGTTGTTTGCCAAGCTGAATTTGAAGTACACTGGAGTAGCAGCACCCTTGTCCTGGTTACTTGTGTCCATCACTGGTCCATGCCATTAATGCACACAGCTTTGAACAGTATTTGTGTAATTCACAAATTTATAATTGAAGAGCAGGATTTTGGGATTCCAACTTCATTGCTAGAATGTTGTGTTATAAACTGTAAGAGTGTGACCTACAGGGTTGGTTTACTTGCTGTTGTTCCTTCTAGATGGTGAACTTGCTCTTGGCCAAAGGGGCGAACATCAATGCTTTTGACAAAAAAGACAGAAGAGCACTTCACTGGGCAGCATACATGGGTAAGGCTTGGGCTGTTGCTCCTTTTTAATTTCCTATTCACAAGCCAATACCATGTATTTAAATGGCTAAGAGTAGACCCAGCCACGGAAAGCGAGCATTGTATTTACCTGAAGAGGGAAGGGTTCAGCTGACCTAAAACACACAGTGTCTATTTATGGTTTTGCTGTTGGTGGAGAACTTGGCTGTGATATAAATTTTAACACAGTTAATTTTGGGCCTTTTGTGTTGATTTTTCATTTTGATGTTTTTATCCTGACTCTAATTCCAGCCTGAAGTATATTTGCGTTTGAAAAAATACAAGTTATATTTGTTTCAGTTTTTGCCAAAAACTACTTTATATAAAATGCATATATATACAATAATAATTTGTTGCTGTTTATCTATGTGTGTATGTAGCTAAGTTACAATATTGTTAGGAAGTGTTTAATAGGCTTTCCTCCTGTTAGGAGTAAAATGTCTTTCATTCTAGAGTGGACAATATAAATTGATTTGTCTGTTCGAAATGTCAGTGGTGATACCAAATACTGCTTAGTTACATAAACTGACCTTATCATTCATTTCAAGTCAAAGGAAAATTTATTATCGCAGAGCATTATAATTTAAAAATGCTAGAAGAAGGTTGCCTGTGACAGTGGTCATGCTTGTTCAAGAGTTTTTGTTGGCCAAAACAATTCCAGTATATTCCAGATCATAATTTGTGAGCTGATGTGTGTGCTTGCCCAGGAACTCTTTTCATCTGATCTGTCAAAATCTTTATTTTAATCATCTCACTTCTGGAAATGAGATAACAGGAGATTTCAAACTGTGAGAAAAGCTAATTGGGTGGGTTTTTTTTAATATACACAGACAGATGGTAAGACTCTTGCCAACAAATACCATTTTGGCTTTTGAGCTAGTGAGCTCTGAACTCTTCTCTGTAGAGGTGAAAGGCTTTCACATCATGTTGTGCAATTCCTCATCTCTTTTTGCTCTTAATTATTTTCAGAAATTCTTGATGTACTTATCAATATATTTAGATACTATTTAAGGCCTAAATTAGCAGTGGGATTTAGAAGCCTGTAGTGTAATTTGGACAGAATTTAGATAATGAGACCTGAGCATCTTATCCTGGAAACCCTCACATAGTTTCTTGAATGCTTAAATATCTTAGGGCATTTTGGACTTTGTCCATAAAGTGTTCCAGGTTCTGCACATGGCCAGAGGTGCCTTTGCCATTGAAGTACTCTACAGCTCTTTTTGTAACAGGGAGAACAAAACACAAACTGTTATTTTTAGATAAATAAATTGGAAAAGGTATGGTTTTGTTCTTTTAATGGCTGGAAGACTAATTCAGTAAAGAGAAATTTGACACATCTGGTGAAGGTGAATGCATATTGCATGGATTTCTTTGCAGCTAGGTTTAATAATCCTAGCATTAAAAAAATGCTTATTTTCCTCTTGTAAAACTGGGAACTTTGCGAAACAGCAGCAAAAGGGGCAGTGCAATAGCAAGAAAGCAGTAATTTGGGAAAAATGACACTGTAGGATGGTATACACTTTGATGACTATCTTTCATCTTTTGAAGGACACCTGGAAGTTGTTGCCTTACTGATTAATCATGGTGCAGAGGTGACCTGTAAAGACAAGAAGGGTTATACCCCACTTCATGCAGCTGCATCCAATGGGCAGATTAACGTTGTGAAACACCTCCTTAACTTAGGGGTAGAGGTATGTGTCAATGTGCTCTGTGTGTCTTCCATGTTTCTCCTTATTTGGAGGTATTCTTTTGTCCTTTCCTAAGGATGCTGCTACAAATATTGGCAGAACTTCTAAAGAAAATATTCCCCTTTTCTGGACCATGAAAAGCACCTTGTGCTTCATTGCTTTATTAGTTCAAGACCCAGCAAACCTTCTGGAATAAAAAGATGTCTGACATGGACAGTAAATTTCCGGCCATTTTGCTGAAGAAATCAGGAAATATATGGTGTTCCTGCAGAGGAAGATGGAATCATTGAAGCTCCCTTGACTCAGCATTCCCTTGGATAAGATGCGTGGTTGTTCTCAACATATACACTGTGTACTTTACTAAACTGCAGTTCAGGCAATTCAAGTTTAGGGACTTGAATTTCCTTTGTAGTTTACAGAGGATTATTTTTACTCTGGAGAGGATTTTCTGGGTTTTTTTAGGGCATAAGCTTGTCTTAGTCTAATATCACCAATTCAGTGCTTCAAAGCATCAGTGAGATGACCAAGAGAGTCTGCACTGGTTAATCAGAGGTGTCAAATGAAGCCACTGCACTTGCCAGCTTTATAACCAGCTGACTTGACCTGCCAAAAAAATGTTAGAAGTCTGTGTTCAGAGGCTGTTGACTGTGAAGTTAAAAGGGAATAGGTGTTTCCTGTTATTAGCAACAGTATGTTAATAACTACCTTTAACTTCCACATTCTCCATCACTGGGGATATAATTTTTGAGATGCCCGTATTTTGTGGAAGAGTATTCATATTATCCTGGAGTTTTTTGTACAGTCTGTCTTGTTCTGTTTTACAGAACAGCAGTTGAATTCTAAGCCAGTCATCAAGAAGTAATATAATCTTAATTACATCTTTATAAAACTGAGCTACTGAAAGTGGTTTCTTATTGAAGTGTAAATGGCTGTGCAGCTTCCCTTCATTCAGACACCTTCATTCCTTTTCCACAAGAAATCTGTGGAAAGAGCTCTTAAGTCTGATTTTGTTCACAAAAATTCAGTAGTTGGAGTTGTATTTTTTTTTTTTTAATAAAGATTGTGAGCTTTTTATTTGTCCTACCTTCCCACTTATGTTTAAAAGCTTTCCCACTTATTAGGGCTTTGTCATCATAATTCCATAGTCCTGCTATCAGCTTTAAGCTTCAAACTGGCTTTTAGGAGTTGTCAGTGAGATAAAAAGTTAATAATAGTAAAGGTCTGAATTAATGTACTCTGAGAGTATATTTTTCTTATTCAATGAAATTTGCTGGTGAGAAATATGCCCTGTGACAGTTGAAGCCTCCAGCTATTTCCATTTGCAGTGTGTGATGCATTATGTAAAATGGTAAGCTGATGTCTGTGATTTAATTGTGTCTCCTTGTCTCATTTTAGATTGATGACATGAACATCTATGGAAATACTGCACTTCACATTGCCTGTTACAATGGGCAGGATTCTGTCGTTAATGAGCTGATTGACTACGGTGCTAATGTAAATCAGCCTAATAATAATGGATTCACTCCTTTGCATTTTGCTGCTGCCTCCACTCATGGAGCACTGTGTCTTGAACTACTAGTGAATAATGGGGCAGATGTTAACATTCAGGTAACAGTTGCAATGTAGCTCTTCAGTTTTACTTTGTCCTATTTTGCATATATCAGGAGACTGCTAACTATACTAACAAGTACAGCTTGGCTTCATCATGTTGATGGAAGTTGAGAGATGCTGAGAATGTTGATCATTAAACTGTCTGCATGAGATGACTTCCCAGAGGAGGAGCTCTCTGTGACTTGATAAATATGACAACATTAAATTCTAGGCCAGCCATTCTCCTCAAGACATGCACCACTACTGCAGGAGCTCTGTCAAAATGTTATCTCAGGGAGTGGTGGTTGAGGAGCTATTCTTTCAGGTGTTTTACTTCCCCCTACAATATGGATTTAATTAACCTGATTCTAGCATGTTCCTTTTGACTTTCATGGGGAAGTAAGAACTGAAGGTTGCTTGTCTACCTGTTTTAGAGCTTGAGTTTATAATGTTTGATTCTGTTAAGGATATCTGAATGCTTTTGAGATACGATTGATACATCTTGATGAAGCTGAAAGGGACTTGTTATCCAACAGAGAGGGTCCTGGTATATGTACGAGAAGACTCTCTGAGTTCATATAAGATTTTCACTACTTTACTTTAAACTCTATATGTTTCAGTTTCCCATCTATAAAACTGGTCTCCTAGCATTTAAGTCCACTGGCAAGTCCCTTGAGATCAGTGAATTGTCAGTGCACTATTTAAACTCAGATTTAAAAAAATTATATTAGCGATTGTGCTTGCCAATGAATGCAAAATCCCATGCCAAACAAGATGAATTATTGTGAGTAGTGAGGCCGGTACCCTTCCCGTGCTGCTTTCTCAGCTCCTCAACTTTCCCAGTCTCAGAACCCAAAACACTGATCTCTACTCATTGTACCTTTTCAGCCACATGCCTTCTCTGTTTTCTCATTGTTTTTTGTAGACATTCTATTTTTGATTGCCTGGAAATTATAACCATAACTTTTTAATATAGTAGTTTTTATTCTGAGGTGTATCTATAAAATGCAGATTGACTGTAAGGATGGGCTCCACCCCAGCCCATTTCCTGCTCATGGCTGAGGAACTGTTTTACTTGTACACTTGAACCGTTTACCATCATGCATAGATTCAGTCCTGCAGACTTTTGAAGCCAGTGAAGATTTTATCTGAAGAATGGCTGTAGGATGTTAGGATGAGAGACTTGTTACAGCTGCTTTACATGCTAAATCTTTTTTGTTTCTGTTTGGTTTCTGTTAGAGTAAGGATGGGAAGAGCCCACTGCACATGACAGCTGTCCATGGGAGGTTCACGCGGTCGCAAACCCTCATTCAGAACGGTGAGCTTCTGTCTGATCAACAATTCTTCACAAGATCAAGGTGTTTCCAAAGTTGCAAGGGCTGCTCTGAGAGCTGCTTGGCTCAGACAGATGACATCCATAGGTCATCCCTTGTCCACTGATGCAGTCACTCCATTGTAGAAAGCCACCAGCTTAGTCAGGCTGGATTTGTCCCTAGTAAAGCCGTGGTGGCTATCCTGAAAAACCTTCCTGTCATCCATGTGCCTTAGGATATCTTCTGGGAGGATCTGTTCCATGATCTCATCAGGCACAGAGGTGAGGCTGACAGATTGGTAGTTCCCAGGGTCCTCCTTTCTACTCTTTTTAAAAATGGGCAATGTGAGATGTTGAATGTGGCTGAACAGTTATGCTGTAAATGCAACAACATGAACATTTTCACAAGATTGTATTTTAAAATGGAAGTTTTAAGTATATCATGCTCCTTTCAGGTCATGCAGATTGTTGTCATATCTCTCCTTGAATAACTGAAATAGTAATAATAAAAGAAATTTGGGCAACGTGGTAGAAGGTGTGCTTTAATGCAATTCTTAGTTGTTTAGTAAAATATGCTGTCTGATTCCCTGTTGAATTTTTGTGTGAAAGGACTGACAGTTCTTATCTGTCCTTCATGCCTCTCTACTTCAAGTTACCTGGGTTTTGCTTCTTGCTTTCTTTATTTGCTGCCCCTCTAATTTTTGTTTTGTACACAGATCTGATTGCAAGTGACTTTATGCCTTATTGCCATGGAATGTTGCAGAAGGGAGAAATGTCAATGATTTAAAGAATTGGAGTTTCATTCTGCAGTACTTAATGACTTGGCTAAAGATGTCTTAATTTCTGGCTGATGTCTCTAATGGCTTCTAGAGGAAGAATGGATTACCTTAAATTTGGAAAATTGCAAATGTGATACCTATCTTTAAAAACAGGGGAAAAAAATAAATAAGCTGGAGGTCACCCCATAGGTCACCCCAAAATTCTGAAATGAATGAATGAGCAAACTGTTTGTAAGCACTTAGGGAGGAGTGGGCAATATCTGGCACAGATTTCTCAAGAGTAAAGGATGCTGAACCATCTTAAATCTCTTCTACAGGGAAATAGACTTTGTGAACACAGCACAGTCCTCAGACTATTTTGTAGGCAGGTAATGATCATGGTGGAGACTCCACCCCAGGGAACCTGTTCCAGTGTTTCACTGACCTTAATTTATGGTTAGAAAATGCTGTATAGTGCTTTACTAGAACTTTGCTTGTTGCAGATATGGCCTGTTATCTCCTGTGAATAGTGGACATAAATTAATATTACCATATCCTGATGTTAGCAAGACTTTTTACATGTTTTCATAAAGTATTCTCACAGCAACCTAGTGCAGTATTAATATATTACAGTGTTAGTATGTAACTAGCTGAAAAACTACAGTCAGTAATAAATTGGTTGTTGTTGAAAAGGAAGGTGTAGTGACGGGGTTTTAAGTTGCTCTCCTGGGTCTGGAACTGTCCAGTATTTTCATTAACATCTTGGACAGTGAAATAGAAAATGTGCTTTTAAAATCTGGAGAAAACATGAAGTGTTAGTTTGGCCAAAAATGGAATTAGAATAGAAAACAGTCCCATAAAATTGGAGACAAGTTATAATGCAAGTGAAGCAAAGAAGGGATCCCACACGCAGGCAGGAGTATCAGTTTGCAAGTTCAGAACAGCAACAGCTGGGTGGGTGGCAGTTCCTCAAGAAAGGATTTGGGGATTTTAGAGGATCAGAAGCCTCTTGACCACAAGTCAACAGTGTCATGCTGCTTAAAAAAAGTAAATCAACAACGTACATGGTGCTGCATAATGTACAGGAGTGTATAGATAGGAGCACAGCCAGCAGGCATGAAGTAATCCCTTAGCTCAGCTCTGAGTTGGGAAACATCAGCTGTGGTGCTGTTTCTGGCTTTTGACATTTTACTTCCAGAAGGATGTGGGCCAGCTGGAGAGGATGAAGGAAGGATGAGAATAGCTGGAGTACAGCAAACCTGACTTATGAGGAGAGACTGAAAAAATTACAGTTCCTTGGTCCAAAAAGAAAACAAGGACTTGCACAGCAATCTTTGCATGGTCAAAAGCTGCAGGAGAGAAGAAAGAAATAATCTATTTTTCCTGCTTGTGAGCATAAAACACAAGATGACAGGCTTAAATTGCAAGAGAAAATGTTCTGCTTAAGCATTATTTGTTTCTTATTTTGTAAGACACAGTAAAGGCACAAAACATGCTTGGTTGTTGCAGTGTCTTCCAGCTGAACTCTTGAACAAACTGTTGTCTTACATTGTCTTACAGGTAAGGTTGTGACAGTGTCTTTACAAATGAGAGCATAGTCTCAGCAGGTTTTTTTGTTGGTTTGTTTTTGGTTTTGTTTGTTTTGTTTAATTCAAGGCGTCCATTTGTACCCTGTCCTTTAGCTGAAGGAGCAAGTCTGAATCATGCACTTGACCATTGTGTCATCCCGTTCACGTATTACCCACCAGTTTCCCCACAGCTGCAGTTCAAGAGGGAGGTGGAAATGTCAGAGTGTGCTCAGTCCCAGTGTCTGGCAGCTTGTTGTGTGCTGGCTCCTGGTCTCTGAAATTTAGTGCCTCTGTATCTGGACTTGTTTGGCTGCATTTGCTAGAGAGAAACCATGTTTGTGGTCACTGGTTCACACTTAACCTTCCAGTGCTAAGCTGTATGAAAATGTCTTTTGCAGGAGGGGAAATCGACTGTGTTGATAAGGATGGTAACACCCCTCTGCACGTGGCTGCAAGATACGGGCATGAGCTTTTGATTAACACCCTCATAACCAGCGGAGCTGATACTGCCAAGTAGGTGGCTGAAGTGGAGCAGTTTCTAATGATCAAGTGTTATGTCTGATGCCTGGAAACACAGCTACTCCTCAGGTTCAGAAGTGTGAAGGTTAAAATGGATAAGTGTGATTGCACTGTACTTCAGTGGGGCATGTGGGGCTAAAACAAGAACACTTGGGAAGTGTGGAGGGGGAGGAAGCCCTGCTAAGGTCCTACTGTGTCCAGTTATGTGGTAACAAAGTAGGACAAGTACCACTTATTTTCCCTCAAGCATTGATATGGCACAGTGATATATAATATACATTAAGTACATATGTGCATAAAGTGCATCTTGATCACAATTATTCCATTTCAAGGGAATTGTGTGCCTATTCCTTTGTATCTAAATTAGCCTAATGTTCAGTGGCCTGTCATACATGGTGATTATTCTTTTGTCTTCTATCTTCTAATATGACATAAGATAATCAATAGAAATGCAGTATTACAAAGAAGATGTTATTAATTATTTTTAATCTCAATATAACTAGAGCCTGTCTTGATGTTACATCGGTTTTGATATTCAGGTGGCTGAAATAATACGACTGCTTTTAACTGCTTTGTGGATTTGGGAGTCCTTTTTGACTAGAAGGACAAGAAGTTAAATTAGACATGATTCTAAATCTTTTTAGTGCGTTCTGCTTAAATTAAATTATTTGTTTGTTGTTGTTTTTTTCCTCTTGCACATGTGTGAAGACCACCCACAATATTATAAGTATTGTCAACTCAAACGTTGGCAGGTGCTATGTTTTTAAGAGTATTCGATTATTGTTCAGTTACATTTGGGTTGTCAAAAGAAAACAGCAAGCCTGACAGTAAACAAAGGGGTGTAAGACCAGAGTAATGCAATGCTATGAAGGATATCTGTGCCAGGTGTTTAACAGCAGCATTTGATTTCATGACTGGAAGTTTTTGGCAGTTAGCTCCCTATATCTCCAAAATATAATTTGAGTCTTCTACCTAGAACCTACCGTAGAAATCAGTGACTTTTCTTGACTTACCCTGTTAGGAAAACCTACTTTCTGATGCAAATGACTGATTTTAATTTTGAAGATACTTGCAGGTCTCAGTATTTTGTTTCTTTGGTAGATGGTGTTTAAGAAAGTGGCACATTTGCCCATCTTCCTTTATCAAGTATGACGTTCACCACTCACACACAGAGGGTGGAACAGATCCTCAGCTGTCATGGATAATAAAATTCCACAGGCTTCAGCTAATGTCACTGGATTTTATTAACATAACCAACATGAAGATCTTGCTGTCTAAAAAGAGGTGTATTTTTCCCAGCTCTTTCTCCAGTACACTGAGTCCCAGTCTGGCTCTTAGCTTGAGGTTTAAGGGGAAAATGTGAAGCAGTGGGATAGCCTGCTCTTGGAATCAGGATTATCCAGTTAGAAATTTCTGTGTCACACTTGGGTGACTGGAACATTGGTCAAATAAAATACTTTTTCCAGCAGGAGAAGTGAAATGAGGAGTTGGCTCAGAGATACCAGGCAGATCCAAAAAATGCTACTGTGCTAAAAAGGAGCACTGAAATGCTGGGAATGGGATTTCATATGTGCTACATGTAAATAACTCTAGTGGAGCTCCCTGAATTGACTTTGAAAAGAGAGCTCCACAGCATTGTTGGCAACAACTGCAGACAGCTCACTCAGGTCGCAGAGACAACTGCTTCTAAAGGGGAAGATGTCTAAGTGATGAGTGTGAGCAGCACTATAGAAATGTGATACTGCTTAGCACATGTACAGATAGTGTATTTTGATGGAAACCAACCAAGACACGCTGGGTTGAAATCTTGACCAAAAAGAAGAAAAATATTGCTTTAGATAGCGAGGTGGAGGAGGAGACAAAGGGAAATGGGTGTAGGAAGAAGCACAGCAGTGCAGAATGTTCAATGTTAGCTTAAATAAATTAATCCACAGCTAAAAAATACAACTGTTCATACAGAAGCAATAGCTTGGTGGAGCTGGTGCTGTCTCCTTCAAAGAAGAGGCTGTCAGATAGACTCCTAATAGATTTACCCTAGGGTGTAAATGCTGACACTGGCAAGATCAAAATTTGTATGGCACCACAAGTCACTCCTTAGTATCGTGAAACATCAAGGAGGACAAATTTAATATGAAGACAGAGGAAGGATAGGCCTGTGGGTTTTGGAAAGAATGAGTTTTTAAAATCATACCACAATTAGCAATGTGTGTATATAGAAAATGTTAGAGATAGCAAGATATCCACATAAACATCCATGTTTATTTTTGTCTAAAGCTTTATAAATAGCTATGATTTATGGTGAATCCTGCAGAAAGATAAGTTCCTTTGTCTTTGAATCTGTATCTGAAATTCTCTTCCATGAAATGATCTTACTCTTCCATCCACCAATTGTCTTGCAGCATTGAAGGGCAGATATAAATCCATCTGCTAGTGTTCAGGAGTTTGTCATATTTCAAGCATATATCTGCTGAGGCAGTAGATAATAATCTTGTTGAGATAGTTGGTTTCAGAGGCTCCATGTTTATATGCACTTGGAGGACTGCCTGTAGGATAGTATTTCCAGAATAACAAGATGCTGTTCACAAAACAAGACTAAATGACAGGAGTCAAGCTGTCCAATCCCAAAAGTCTTCTGTGCTTAGGGACTGAACTGGGATGATTTGCTGATGTTAATAAAAGCCGCTGAGCACTTGGCTTATTTAAAAATGATGTGGTTACCTGAGAGATTTAGCCTAATGATAGGTGCCTCTTTTTTTTTTTTTTTTTCCTTTTTTTTTTCCACCCAGTTTGTGTGATCTGAGAATTTTGTAGTGTAATTGAAAAGAGGGTTGTGTGTTAAATGGGGGGATATTTGGAAGCACATATGAGAGTAGTTGGAGCAAATGGGAAAAGGAGATGTTTAGTACTTAGGATGTGGGAAGAAAACTGTGTTACAGCAGCCTCAAGGAAAACACAGCAAAGTCATCAGCTACCAGGGGAAGGAGAGGGAAGAAGCAGAGGCTTTGAAAACCCACATTAGTCTAGAGGATGTTAACTACAGGAAAAATGGATTTCAGAAATAATACTTAGAAAATTTTGGAATTTACTTTTACTTCAGAATGACAGTTGCAGTATGTGTAGCTAATGCAGAAATTTGTGCATCTCACATTGGGAAATTGACTCCAAGAAAGATCTACTGTGTTGCTTCCTCCCTTACCTTGGTTTTCCTCTGGAATATTTAGAAACTTTCCTGCCACATTCTGTTCAAAGCATAATGCCAAGATTTTGCTGTATCAGAATATTTTTAACTCCTGAGAAGGCAGATAAAAATAACATGGCAGGAAGAATCTTCCCTGAAAATCATAAAAAATGCCACCTCTATGGAGGGAACTTTGGATGTGTTGTGTCTGTATGCAACCTGCATTTTCACATGGCTCTGTGTAATGAGGCTGTTGTGCCTTTCAGGTGTGGGATCCACAACATGTTCCCTTTACACTTAGCAGCGCTGAATGCTCACTCAGACTGCTGCAGGAAATTGCTGTCATCAGGTAGGTAAATCCCCCAGTGTCTGTGCAGCTCGAGTAATGTGTGTCTCTGCTGCTTGCAGCCCCTTTATACTCACTGCTGTGAATTGTTCCAATGAAAGACTTCCTGTGCTGCTGTGCTGGGCTCTGTGCTGTGCCGTGTGGAGCGTGCAAGGCTTTCCTAACAGCCTGCTGGTACATCCCTGCATCCTGTATTGTTCATGCCTGAAGCCCTTTTCTCCTGGCAGGTTCAAAGAGATTATGTTAATTTGCCAGGAAAAGGGAGAAAATGTAGGACCCTTTTCCACACTGTAGGAATGTGAGACACTGTTTTGGTTGGGGGTCCTCCACCCCAAGAAATAATTCAGGAGATTCCCTCCTGGAAGCCTGCACTGATGCAGGTATTTACATCTCACTGGCAGTGATGTGTTGTAGATACAGCTCAAGTGTGTTTCTGTATCTGACCAGGGTAAAGCAGTTAGGCTGGCCAAAGCTCTGACAGGGGCATGAGAGGGGAAATGAGTGAAAGGGTAGTGTTGAGACAGCAGTCTCAGGATCCTCACTGGAGCAGGAGTTTGTTCATGCAACCATTTCAGAAGAGGCAGTAATCGGATGCCAAATCCCAGTTTGTTTTTTTCCAGGCAAGTGATCCCATGAGTTAAAAAATTGCGAGGCAAATCATATGCTTTTCTAGAAAATGGCTTCATTACTTAACACATAAAATCTTCTTCAACTGCTTTTTTTTTCTTTTTCTTTTTTTTTTTTTTTCTTTTTCTTTTTTTTTTTTTTTCTTTTTCTTTTTTTTTTTTTTTCTTTTTCTTTTTTTTTTTTTTTCTTTTTCTTTTTTTTTTTTTAACTGAAACTTGAGTCCTGCGAGGTATTAAAAAAATGTGAAAAATAGCAATTGCATACCCTATTATGTTAAACTTGGCACACTCTGGCCTTCACCACCAGATCGGGAAGGAAGTAAAAAAGCTCTGGATGACTAGAGTTGATACTGTCAGGGTTATATCTTTGGCCTTTTGCATCTGGATGAACAACCCTGCGTGCTTCTGGGAGCCTCTTCCCAACCCAAGAAGCACATGCAATAGAAGCGGCCCCATTGCATGTTCAGGCTGACTCTGTGGTTTTTTCCCTCATTTCTTCGTGCTTTCTGTCTTCCTGTCCTGCTGTCACAGTCCTCTTGGTAAGTGTCTGCCTCATAAATGCCTGCCACATGGTTCTGAATGGCGATGAGGCACGGAAGTAGATGCTCATTGACTCTGCAGCTCTTTATAGAGCTGCCAAGCTGGAGCAGCCACTCGCCGTTCCCCGGGCAACCTCTTTCTGACTGTAGTTGCTTGCGTTCTGTTTTTTTCCTAACTAACTGATTTTTCTGTCTCTGCAATGTTTCTTGTGGTTTAACTAGGACAAAAGTATAGCATAGTGTCCTTGTTTAGTAATGAGCACGTGCTGTCTGCAGGCTTTGAAATAGACACCCCTGATAGTTTCGGAAGAACGTGCCTCCACGCTGCCGCTGCAGGAGGGTGAGTAGCTGTGACCTGTAGCTGTTGCGAGTTATTTTGTGGCTTCGTTGCAGGTTTGGTGCCAGCCAACTTGACTGTGTCATCCACATAGGAATTTCTTGCTGTGTGAGGAAAGCAAAGTGGCCTGATAGCAGATTTTTGTTACTCAAGGCTGTCTTTTGCTACTACCCCCATGTAGGGGTTGCTTGTGAAGTAAAGGAGACGGTCTAATTTACCACAGAGAGCTGTGTTGTGATTTGAAACATGGGCTTCAGGCACAGGGGAAGAGTGCCTGAAGAGTGCCCCTGTGAAGAGTGCTTCAGCTGGGTGGGGTACTGCATCCTCACCCACCTCTGTCTGTTGGCCACAGTGGTTGCTGAGGGCCAGCAGTCACCAGGAATCATCAGTTCCTGGGCCAAAGCGGGTAAAGAGGAGGAGCTGTGGCTCCTGGGATGCTGCTTGCAGGGAAGTTTTTTCTGGCCTCCACCTTTGGACTGTGTCCTTTTCCAAAAATGCAACTACTCAACAGTTCCTATGGGATTGTAATCCTGGAGTCCAAATGCAGCTCATCTTCCTCTTTCCCACTTTTCAAGTGCAAGTTTAAATGTTTCTAAAAGAAAAACCAACAAACCAAAACAACCACAAAAAAACAAGCCCAAACCAACCAACCAAACAACCCCAAACCTCCAATTTTGAAACCCAGAAGACTCTTGTTCACTCAGAGTGATAAATGCTGGGAGGCCAGAAATGGAAACAAATGAAACCCGAAATATGTCAGTTTAAGTTGTAAATGTCACATCCAGTTGGATGAAATATTTCCAAATAATTGTCAGTGGAGTGCTGTGAAGTTCACCTAGCAAAAGGACAAAGCATTTGGCAAGCATTGAGTTTTGACTCTTCTGTTGAGGACTTTATGGCTCAGAAAACAGCTGAAATAGAGCCTTGGCTAGAACCCAGCTCGGATTCACTGTGGTTATAGCAAGAAGAAATGGTCATCCACAGCAAACACTTGGCAGTCTTTCTGGAAGTTATTTTTTCTTCTTGGTGGACCAAAATGTATATCACAAACTTTTGGTTATTACAAAAACCTAGTCAAATTGATCCAAATATTGTTTTTTGTTTTTCTTATGGTATTACTCTTATATTAATAGAGGAGGCATGACTGTTGCTTGCATGGTAATTATTTATAGTATAGTTCAAATGCTACCTCTTTGAGAAGGCTGCACCCCAAAAGAAAATTAAAACCTGGAAACCCCAAAGAGGAGAGGCTTCATAAGAAGCAAAAGTGGCTCATGAAAACACACCATATTTTTCCACTGGTTTACTACAGTTGTCATCAGTAACAAGTGTTTCTATTTTTAGTACATTGTGGTGAGTGTTCTGTAGCTATTTTATGCAATAGCAATTTAGCATAAGGATGAACATAGGCCATTATATTGCATCCATGCTTTTCTTTTTCCTGGAGGTGGACCTATACAAAAGGCATTAGTCTTTTCCTGAAAAATGCCTGTTACTCCTACTAACATAATGGGTTATATGGGTACTAGGAAAAGAACACACTTCAAAGTCCTACTCATCTGACTGAACACAAATGATTTATTGCCCCTGTGAATGACAAGGACTCTTGGAAGGTGCTGCTCTTCTTTATGTTATTTTCTGGCTTGGAGTCATATATATATCCCTTGTATTACAAAAGATGTGAGAAACCAGCTGGTTTATTTTCTATTAAAAATCTAAAATCACCTAGCTGTAAACAAGATGAAGAAGCAGCAATGATCTGGTGAATTCTTTCAACAGATGCAAAGCAATGAAGCACAACTTATTCACTTAGATAAATGCAATATTGATATGACAATCACTTTAACGAAGCACGAAGTGCTTAAACCTATCAACAGTCAACAAATCATATGAGAATAAACCTAAAAGTAACTCTAGTGACTAAATCTTGCTAAGTAAACAGGATTTGAGTGGAGGTGGGTTTCGTTAAATGTCGCCTCATCATTATTAGACTGGCATTTTATAAGACAACAACTTAAAAAAAAAAAAGTTATCTTATAAAATACCAGTTCAGTGTGGGAAGCATTAGAGTACAGTCCCCATTGAAAATCTCCAAACACACTGAATTCAGATCACATTTACTGTGTTCTCTTTGGATTTTTTGTCCTGCAGAAGAGAAATTTGATGTTTTCTAAAAAAAAAGAAATTAAGTAGTTTTTTAAGGCTTCATTTTATTTTGATTGAATTTCGCATTGTAGTTGGCTGTGCCCTTGTTTTGCACAGCAAATAATACAAAAATTGTTAGAGTAACTTTTTCCTTTTTGGTAAAAGCAAGCAACACACATGTAAAAATATGTTTTGTTCATGTTTTCTTTACTTCTCTTTCCAGTAATGTTGAATGTATAAAACTCTTGCAAAGCAGTGGAGCTGATTTTAGTAAGAAGGACAAATGTGGGAGGTAGGTGAAATATTAAGCTCAATTGAAAAAAAAAAAAAAAAAAAGAAGAATCTAGCAAGTAAGGAAGAAGGACCATCTGAATTTGGAAATAATGTATTCTATGAAAAATCAGAGTAAAATACAGTAGGAGTTCGGCTTTCCATGCAGAACTCTTGCTGCTGCAGTTATATTCCAGTCAGTCAGGTGCAGACTTCATTAAAGACATAAAAGCCATCCCACCCTCTTGAGTTCTGTTTAAAAAATATCACATATTTATGATTTTTCCTTCTGTCTTGCATGAATTCTTGTGCTTGTGGGGGTTGGACTAGATGATCTTTCGAGGTCCCTTCCAGCCCCTAAGATTCTATGATTCTATGATTCTGTGCTCAAGGCAGCACCTGGGTTATGATGGGAGGATTGTTGCTATTTGAGTTGCTTCCTAGAGTGGGTTTTTTTCCCCATATGAAGTGTTGCTATGAGCGGCTGTGCCAGCTAAATAAGATGCTGTGCAGGACACAGTGCTTTGCTCTGCCTCCCAGCTGGGAGAAAGTAACATGTATGCAGAGCAAAGCAGAGGCTATCAGTGGGAACACCTTGTTTGCAAGACAGAGACTGAGGTCTTGTATCCAATTAGGCTCTGTAGGAACACCAAGACTTCCTATTAACACAGTATTTTATTAAATCTGCATAACTTTGCATTTTATCACAGGAACATAAGGTGCTGATATTGATTGCTGGAAATCTGTAGGAATGCAGCAGTCAAGATTTGTCATTATCCTCGGTGGTGCATATTGGAATATGAGGTAACAAATTGTCACTTTTGTTCCAGGACACCTTTGCACTATGCAGCTGCAAATTGTCATTTCCACTGTATTGAGACACTGGTGACAACAGGAGCCAATATTAATGAAACAGATGACTGGGGACGCACCCCTTTGCATTATGCTGCTGCTTCTGACATGGACCGAAAGTAAGAAAGCCTCTTTGTTTCCCTGGTGTTTTGTTAAATCAGTGGTCCTTCTATTCTCTTCATGATGCTTTGTCGAGCCATAAGAATGATCCTGCTAGCAAAAGAATTTCTCTTGGATGTGTGCATAACTCCACACTGAGTTGCTCTGACTAGAAGCCAAATCCCCAGTGATGTGGCACTTCAGCTCTGTGGTTTACCTTTGATGTAACGCACAGTTTTGCAGCCGTCACGTCCTACTGAACTATTTTCATAATGTTTAGGCTTATGTTTTCCTCTCTGTGGTTTCCTCATAAGAGTAAGCTCAGAAAATTGTCTACATCTGGTTTGCAAGTCCATCAGAAGAGAGATGGAGTGAGAGATGGCAGAAGATGTTTTCCCAGATGGACTGCTGTGACAGACAAACATCTGGCTATTCTGACAGACTTTCTGGAAAAGATGGGATGGATCTATCCATCAGTTTCTTTCCACTGTCAGAGCTTATGAAAATGCTCACCCTGTCCAAATGGGTAGCTTTTTAGAGACTTTAAAAAGAGAAAGGCCTGGGGAATATCCTTTGGCAGAATGCAGTGCTGTTCTTGTGAGAAAGGGAGAAAACAGCTGCAAAACTTAGAAATCCTGTGGTTAGTGAGTGCAGTTCCTAATTCCCAGATAGCTGCATATTTTGGCAATAGCTTCCTTATAACATACTGTATAAAACAGGCTCAATTATTCTGTTACTTCCCATAGAAGTGTAGTGACCTGATTTTAGATCATCCAATGCTTCTCTGTCTCATTCCTTTAGACACTAAGGAAGTATTTTCTTGGTTTCTCATATAGTGAGGTTTGGCTTTATGGTAGAGGCTTAGTTGCCATACCAGAGCCTTGGTAGCTTCTTCAAAATTTGATGAGAAAATACTGGTATAAAAACTCTTTTCCCTAACAGCCTCAAACCTCAACAGTGCTGGGAAGAAGGCAGCATGATCTTCAAAGGTCTGTGCTCGGCCTTACAATCAGAGTAGGCTTCTAGGAAGGCTTTCACCACTGGATATTTCTAATTCTGTCCTACCAGGGTGAGCTGTTATTTGAGGTGTTGAGACTTTTGATTCTGTATATCTATAGAGACTCTTCTGTGTATCTATATAGACTCCTGCATTGAAACAAGCTCTTAGTTAACTTAAGGATTTAAGGATTAATCTACTTCCATCATTTATTTAAAAAACAAAACAAAACCAAAACTTTACTTTAGCCACATCCTGAACATTGGCAGGAATATATGGCCTTTATTTGCCCTCATAGCCCAAACCTAAGTTGATTCCAATGTGGTGATACTGTCTTCTCATTAAACTATTCAGTTTGACATGTTCTGGAAGAAGCCTTGTTACACAGATGAACTGCTGTTTGCAGTATGTGATTTTATAGGTCAGCATTGTTTTGGTTTTTTTCCCTGCTGAATGACATAAAACTCACAAGGCCAGGCAATCTCAGTCCAGAGAATATTCATAATTATTTAACTGTGGATGTGGGCACCTAATGACCAGGCAGAGATCTTAGTGCAGAGAGGCTGTTCTACTGTTTCAGCTGTTTTGGTAAGGGTTGCTGCTCATGGTCTGCAGAACGTACCTCTCCTGCAATGGAAATCACAACAGCATTTCTATTGGTAAAAAGGTGATTGTAGTTTCTGAGTGTATACTGTTTCTCCAGACCATTGCTTATTCTGTTCACGGAATCTTATTTTGTATTCTCACTGATTCGTAGTTAACTGAAGGCAGGTGCAGGTAGGATTTCAGCATAGCATGTGGGCACTGTCTATGAGCTTGCAACGTTAATATTAATGGAAGTTATTTTATTAATAATGACATTTTCCCTGAGTCAGTGGACATCAGACAGACCCTAAGCTTGTGGAACGATCCATTATTGCTTGTACCCATAGGAAGAAAGGCAAATCTTGATATTACAAATTAGAAATTGCATGTTAAAGAAGGAATGTACTGTTCCACATTGTGCAGAATCCCATCTGGAATTTGTGTCTTATATCGGGATTGAAATTAGCAAACTGTTCTTCTACAAACTTTTCAAGTGACTAATCCATGATGGTAAGAGTTTCTAAATTATTCTATGTTAACCTTGGTGCCCAAGAAAGATGATAATCACAAGCTTGTGATGGTAAGATTACACATCATAGTATTCTGTCTGCCATCCATTCAGCTAGGGAGTAGATGTGCCAAAAATGATCTGAGTGTGCAGGAATATGAAGACATGTTGAGCTCTTTGAAGAATATAAAGAATCTGACCAAGAGATCCACAGTGTTGCCAAGTTTTTTTCACAGAAAACGAGGAGAGTTAGTGACAGCTAATGCAGATTCAAGACAGATTTAGTATCAGTGATTGCAGTTTCTCTAAATCCAAAATACTAGAGAAGAACTAGCAGGTTAATGTAGTAAGAAACAAACTGTGCTAATCCTCATTTCCTCTCTGCAAAGTAAAAAAAATGCACAACATTGCTGTGGGAGAAGGGGAGGGATTCTAGAAAGCGGTGATAAAACTGTTTCTGATAGAAACCAGAATTTTCTGGGGTTATTTTTTCTGGCATCAACCTCTGGGAAAATAAACTGTAGTTGTCTCCATAGTTTGCAAAACTTACTAGCTGCAGACCCAGGCAGTACACTCATTTAACTTGTATAGTTCTTACTGTTGGCTGGGGGAGGTCAACTCCTTGAAGAGGATATTGGGGTGGGTGGCAGACCTCATCAGAGACACTAGTATGGTGTATTGAAAATAAGTTGCATTTTTCTGTCCTCTATGCTAAGAAGAAAGAATATTTTAGGTAACTCCCACGAAAATGCTCAAGAACTTGAAAGAGCCAGTGAGATGAAGGAAAAAGAAGCTGCATTGTAAGTTTGGTGTAAATAAAGCAGATAAGACTCCACTTCTGGAAAATGCCTCGGCTTTGGGCTGCAGTTCACACTCTGCTTTTGCTCATTTGTTGCTCTGCTGAACACAATGCTTGGCTGTAACGAGGGCTCACCTAAAGAAAAACAGCTCTATGCTCTTCTCTGTGTACAGAATCTCTAATATTTCTATTTCTGTGCCTGTTGCTGTCTCTTAATAGAAAATGTACTGCTTCATTAACTTACAAATTATTTTAATGCTTTGCAATGAGTATGTATGTTGCAAAAAGTAGACAGTGGCTTCCTCAATGTATTTGCTCTGCAAAAAGAAGTAGACAGTGGCTTCCTCAATGTATTTGCTTGGATTGGCACATTCATCTATCTGCTTCATTATTTTGTTGTTTTAAAAATCCCCTCTTTTGTATGCCAGCTTTACATTCTCTGCACATTACAAGCTATGGATGAAAGTACTAATAACAAAATTATTATTTCTTGATGGTATAAGGAAATGGACAGGAGCTATAAAGAGCACAAGGGATCCCTTGAAAAACACATTATTTAAAGAAGGAAAAAAGCGAGCAAAGAAGAAAATGTATTTATGTACATAAATGCCAAGAAATTTGCTCAATTGGGTCTTTATTTTTCAGCTTGCCCTAGTGCATGTTTGGAGGCCAATGGTTTGATCTGTGAGTTTTTACACAGAGTAGTAGCAAATCTAGGCTGCTTTTACATCATTGTATGGAGTTGTGTAGTTTTCTTTCAGGCTTCATAATTGAAAATAATTTTGTAATTTGGAGTAGCCACAAAGGTTGGGTCAATTATAGTTTTTTATTAAGATCTTCAAAGATGAGTGGGGATTTTCTGGAAATGGTGATTATGGGGAGCTCTTGGTGAAAAGAGGGAAAATTATAAGTGATTTGAGGTACTGCTAGAAATACAGAATTAATCGCCAGTTTTCAATGCCACTCATAGTAGCAGTGAGGGATGGGTCTGTTAAATATTGTGAGCTCTCATTTCAACAAGCGAATTGTCCACAGGTGTCTAGAGTTCCTTCTACAAAATGATGCCAATCCATCCATCCAAGACAAAGAGGGGTACAACACTGTGCATTTTGCTGCTGCATATGGGCACCGGCAGTGTTTGGAACTGGTGAGTGCCCAGACCATTCAGAAACCTCTTATCTGCTGATATATATATGTGTGTGTGAATGCTATTATTATAGATTCCCTGATGGTTACTATTTGAGTCCTTTGAATGTTCACAAATCTGTGAAAACCTGCAATATGGTGCAGCAAACTCAAATATACACAACCAGATGTATCACAAAAACAAGTTAATCTTGATAATCCTGTCCTTGTTGAACAAGCTGGTGCTTAAATGTTGTCTTTGAGTGGAGTTTGTGTACTCAAATTATTTTTAACTGTGACCAAAATATTCCTGGTGTATGTGTATGTGCCAGTAGTAAGGGAGAGTTCCAGCGTGTGACAGTGTATGTGCCTTCTGCAGCTTGGCACATTGTCTGACCTGTAAACTGAGTCAATGGCTTTTGTCAGCTGCATACCTCTTGCTTCTGGTGAAATTATAGGACCATTGATATGGTTAATGTAATCAAGATTAACCTCGTATGCAGTGTAACTGGAAGAGGTTTTGTTGTTGTTCTTTTAATATCCTAGACCAAAATTTTTAGCCAAAAGTTTTATTTGGGAGATGCATAGTAAGTATGGATTTATAGAAGCTTGTGACTTGTAAAAGTATATGTCATGAAGACGGACATTAACTGAGCTGCTTGATAGACAGGTTGATCCAGAATTATTGTGTCACACATGAATAGGCTTTAATTGCTTAAAAAAGAAAGCTCTAATTGAAAATTGTACAGATAGCCATGCTTTAGTAAGATCACTGTGTACTGTTTAGTGCTTTATGTTGTTTGGTTTGTTCTTTCTTTGTTGAAGAGTCAAAGTACTTAATCAATGAAAAGAAGCTCTGCGCAGGTGCTTTCACACCACCTTGACCAGTGCTGTCAGTTACTGCCACCACAAGAGAAATACTGCAGCCTGCCTACGTCAGGGTGACAACAGCTAGGAAACCCTCACCTGTAATTACCCCAGGGTCAGAATTCCAGGTGGGATGTTAAGCTTTTTTAGCTCCCACCTGCCAGCATGTATATTTAGGACACTTGAAATATCACTGGTCCTTTGTTGCTTGTGGCAGAGAGTTTGGCCTTTCCTTGTTTAGAACCTTCTCCTAGAGCTGATCACTCATGACTCTGCCTGTGGGGATGAAGGAATCCTCTGCTGAGCCTGCTGCCTATTTGGAGCAAAAGTAATTTTTTAAGGGCCTATATATAGCATAGCTTCCTCTGTGCTGTGTACAAGCTTACACTTACATGGCCACAGCAATGTGCACTGCAACCTTACCCCTGTCTTAGCACCAGATTCTTGCATGACTTGCACGAGCAGAGACCACCATAAAAGCATCTTCACTGAGGAATTGTCTTTCAGCCTTCGTATCATAGGCCCTGTGTGCCATGAGACATGAAGCAGGCACAAAGCAAGGTCTTCTCCCTTTTCTTTTGCTTGTTGCTGTGCATGTTTTCTGGCAACATATCAGTTGCAGACAATGACCTGCTACCAAGTCCTTGTGTTTCTTAGGCTGGCCAGACAAAAGGCAGAGCTGGGAATTTAGTGCATATCAGGTGTTGGGTTTTCTTTTAATTTTGGAGGGTGAAATACAATCTGTGGGCTAGAGATTGCTGTGCAGCAAGTGTTCTATATTTGGACAGAGAAATGCAATGTTTTCCTGTGTCAGTCGTCCATACTGTGACTATAGCTGCAGTTTAGAAAACCAAGATCAAGCATCCCTTCCAGAGCGATAGTTATATGGCACCTGTGAAAGAAAACTGCTGTGAATTTTAGCCTTTCCCATGTCAAGAACCACTAATGTGTACTGAGGACCAGGATTTTGCCATTGGTGTTTAGAGGCTGACAGGCATCTCATTTTTCATTTGGAATGCAAAAGCCAAATTTACCAGAAGGCATTTGTGCTCAATCAACAGTAGAACCAGGACTTGTCATCTTTGCACCCACTGTCAGAAGAAGGTGATTCAGTTTTGTTCATGTGAGCAGTGTCCCTTAGCTCTAGTGAGTTACTGAGTCCTGAGTTTAATAACTTTCTAATTGATAACAAGGACTAACTAGTTGATAAAGGCACCACCTTTACCTTGATTTCTTTTCATTGCTTGGATTCAGGATGACAACAGCCGAGACCAAAGTCTTGAGTAGCTGAAAGGTAATTGTGCTGTGGGCATGAAATGGAAATAATCCTTTTGTACTGTTGATTCCTATGCTTCCTCTGTTAAAGCAGTGTCCCCTATATTGCAAATAGACATTGCAATCCCATAATGCAATAAAATTGTTTTTGGCAGAGTTATTCGTGGCTCTTTGAGGGCTGTGTGTAAAAGCCTGCAGTAAGTGTTCATCTGGCACAGATGGGAAGGAGCCTTGCTGTCTTGTGAGACTGACTGGTGGCTCAGTCGCGCTTTGTTGTGCTTGCTGTGGCAGACCTATGACAAGGACTTCATCATGAACCCTGATCTTTATTTCTGGTACCTATTAACCACAGCACGTTGGCTGCTCTGGCTACTCATCGTTGAATGAAGCATCCAGTAAGGTTTAATTGTTTCTAGGCATGACTTTTAGCTAGAGGCCCCTTCCTTTCCACATAGCAGAAAGAACATCAAGTCATCAAATGCCATTTTAGTCCTCAAGCCTTTTAATTATCTGTATTGAAAACTAAACCAATGGAGATCCAGAAAACGGGCAGTGCTCTTTGCCTGGTTTCTCTCTCGTGCGCTGCGTTGGGCTCTCCCCGGGACGGCGCCGGCAGCTCCCAACTCCAGCTGAGGCTGCAGGTTGGCTCCTTGGGTTCGGGTGTAGAGGAGGTGCAGAAGGACAGCTGGGTATGTCTGGGACTACTTGGCTGGTTTTACTGCTGTGTGTTGGAAAGACATTTTTTTTTGTTGTTTTTCTTTGGTGCTAATGAAAAAGAAAAGAAGTTGCACAGTATTTTTAGTCGCTCTTACTTAAGGAACAGTGGGAGCCCAGAAACCCTAATTCCAATGTAAATACGTCTGGAGATATGCAGGGAGGTTTTTTTGTTTTGGTTTCACACAGGCAATAACAGAGATAAATTGATGTCTTTCTTAAAACTGCTAACTTTGAGCCACTAGTCAGTATTGCAGGAACTCTGACATACAGAACTCTAAAATATTTCGTGTCTTCCATCCTGAAGAATAGATTTTCCAGCAGGATTACCAGAATAAAACTATAAATTTTTAGTGCCAAATTAACTGTTATTTTACTGGTTTATCCCTTAGAGAAATATTTTCTGTTTATTATTGACAGCTCATAGATGAAAGTATTTAGGAATTGTCTTCCCTAGAACAAGGCAGTTCTTTATGGGCAAAAAAATTCTTAGAGGAAAGAGTTGATATAAAATATACAGCTTTAATTCTGATCAAAACTAAGACAAAGTGGATGCAAAAATAAGCTTGATTGTATGAGTAAGGATTACTATTTCTCTACATGCTCTATACTAAACTTGAGCAAAATGTTAGGGAATTATTTCAGTGTCAAAGAATATGGCAAGTTTATCAAAGACCATGTAAGATGATTTTTTTTTTCTTCCTTCCCCCCCCCACTGTTTTTGTAACAGGTATCTAAAAGAACTTATTTCTAAATAAATAGTCACTTAAAAATAAAGTCTGAAGAAGATGCAGTATCCAGTGGAGTTTTCTTCACTGAGGGATCTGATCTATGCTTTAAGCACCGTAGCTTCTTAGCATTGCAAAATATTTACAAGTTTGAGTGCAGTTTAGGAAAGGCTGGGTTATCTGTGAAAGTATATTTTCATTTTTTGAGTTCTATGTTTACTGTGAGCCCAGTACCTTGGCCTGAATTTAGCTAAATTTCTTTGTGGGAGGAGGAGACCTATTAGACAAAAGAAGGTTTAAGAGCGAAAGGTCGTATCCTTTGACCCAAACAAATCAAATGTGTGTTTGTGTGTTCAACCACAGAGCTTGATGACAGAAGCCTTTTTTCCTGGGGGACCCTTAGGTTTTCTGGGATATTAGTGGTGCAGTTGCCCTGCGCTGAATGACGTGATGTTGCTAAAAGGAGAAGAGTCGAAGCAGGTTCTTGAATTCTTTCTCCATCTGTAAGGACCCGTTCATAAAGGCTGAATGGTGGGCATGAGTGGGCAAGCAGCTCAAACTCCCATCTGCTTTCCTACTTCTAAAAATAAGCTCATGTTTGTTTAGAATGGGACTGACTTCTTTGGTGTTCAGTAGTCAGGGAGGTTGGTCACAGTTGCTAACTGGTATTTAGAGCTGATCACATCACCAAACTACTTTGAAAAAAAAGAAAAATATGGTGGGATTTTTCACTGAAATTGTCCTATCACAAAACCCTTATTGGTGTGAAAAGAATGAAATGTCAATTGTAATTTCACACTAAAATTCTGTGTGAAGTCAAGCGCTTTGTGCTGGTAAAAACAGGTTTCTATGCAGTGTTAGAGCAAACAGAATTAAATGCTTGTCTCCTGTAGTGAAATTTCTTCTCTGACTGTAAGAATTGATGGTTATTTTTTTTCTTTTAGTCTACTACTCTTTATTCCATTGGCAAATGAAATTCATGCTTTGGCTAATAGAAATTGAACCAGCACAAGGTCTGTTTCCTTTGAGGATGGGAGGAGAGCATGGTTTAAGCAAAAACTATCTCCAAAAGAAAAGGCAAATCTCAGTTTGCCTGGCTGCCTGAAGCAAGGTGATCTGCACAGCTGAGTGTGTCAGGGAGAAGGAACAGAGGGAGATTTCCCACTAGCAAAAGGCCATCTTGGCTGTGCTATGAAAGGGGAGAAGAGAAGGAAAACACCTTTTATTAGACCTGCTGCTACCACTGGAAAATAGTTAAGCTGTGCCTTCAATTAACCTGTGGAAAAGTTGAAATCACAGGCCCTGTAAGTCTTCAATGTGACTGCTACAAATCATGTGTATCTCTTGTCAGCAAGAATTTGTTCATTCATCCGAGAGCAGGACCCTGGTAATTAATGACAAGTAAATCACAAGTGTGATTGAGCTAGATATTAAAAAG